GATCTTCCCGGACCGGGGCACGAACCCGTGTCCCCTGCATCGGCAGGCGGACTCTCAACCACTGCGCCACTGCGCCAACCCTGCATTTTTATTTTAAAGCAAATGGCAGGGCATTTGCACAAGCATTGTCCGGGCAGTTGCCAGGATGGTTTTCCTGTGCCTCGCATCTTTCCCCCCAGTGCCAGAGGGCTGGACCCGCGGTCTTGGGTGGACCGAAGGTTCCAGGAGGCAGGGTCACAGGTGTATTTTGGTCAAGAGCCAAGTCTCAGTATTTCCACTTGGGAAAAGGATTTCAGGGACCACCAGAGGCACCTCCTGCTTTGTCCCGGGGGTTTCCCATGGCTGGGTCTGTTTGTGTTCAGACCAGAGTGTCTGGTGGATGTAGGACCCACGGGTCAGAGCCTGGCCGTGCCCTGGCCATCCCACAGGGCATGTGAGCTGCCTGGGAAAAAACAGCATTTTATTAGTATTACAGTTAAACAGACCCTTGATCTATTTCGAACTATTAAGTGTCATTTCTTGGTTGAACAGTTTCCAAAATGGTTACATTCATGTGAGCCCCTCTGTGAGACGTGAGGGTAAACAGGGGCTAACCCACCCCAAAACTCAGCATGCACCGGGGAAGGATATTTGCCTCTTTTTTTCTTACTACCTACTGCAGCTTTTTTTTTTTTTTTTTTTTTTGCGGTACGCTGGCCTCTCACTGTCGTGGCCTCTCCCATTGCGGAGCACAGGCTCCGGACGCGCAGGCTCAGCGGGCATGGCTCACGGGCCCAGTCGCTCCGCTGCATGTGGGATCTTCCTGGACTGGGGCACGAACCCACGTCCTCTGCATCGGCAGGCAGACTCGCAACCACTGCGCCACCAGGGAAGCCCCATGCTTCAGACTTTTTAATACCATTGAAGGAGTGTGGGAAAAGGGAAACATCTCACTTTAACGTGCCCATGGTTCTTCTGCATCACTGAATGATAGAAGCTGTAGTATTTACATTTTATGAGGGTGGCATGGGTTAAATTTTGCATTCTGAGGCTAATCTCCCCACACCCATAGATTAGGGGAATGCCAGCCCGCCCAGTGCCTGCATCGGAAGATGCTTGCCACCTCGTAATGAAGCGGGTGAACGACTGAGTGAATGTATAAGTACCTCTGGAGGAATATTTGAGACCTGGAGGATGTGTGATGACCGCTTTTGTGGGGACAGGCACAGTGGTGATGGGACCCATCGCCGTGGTCCCAAATGCCCACAGCGGGGGGAGCGTTGCAGGCTGTTTTAGGACTGAACTCAAGAAACCATTTTAAAATCCATCTTGTGGTGAGGGCTTGGATTTGTGGTCCAAGAAGTTTAGAGCCTCAGCAGTAAGCCTCCTCCGCCCTTCACTTAATTAATACTGGGTTTAAGAGCTCGAGAGGCAGGAGGTCCATTTGACAGGCGGCAAATTCTCTGTCACTTTGTGCCTCACTCCTAAAAGCCACCGAGCCATTGGCCTGCAGCAGCCTGGCCAGCAATGGCCCATTGGAGGTTGCTTGCTTCCGGCAGATTTCCTCCGGCAAGAGCCCTTCTCTCTCCCTGCACCTGTCGCCTTGAGCAAACCCCAGGAGCAACTTGTGGAGGCCCCGGGGTAACTTCCTGCAGGGCTGCTGAGCCTGCTGTGTCAGAGAGGCTCCCGTTAACTTGGAGCCCTTTCACTTTGATAAGTAATTAAAGAAAATCCTCCTCCAGCATTAGTTATCATCAGCATCATGGAAGTGATGAGTTAAATAATGAAATTCTGACCTCCTTTCTTTCTCCGCTTTTCCTCTTCTTCCACGAAGGAGTTGGGACAAGCGGGTCCCATCACTTTGAGTTTAGTGGGGAAAATGACAGGTAACCGGCTTTTTCTTTGGGACAGCAAACCTCTCCTGAGGGTGTGCGGAAGAGGGGAGCCCAGGGAGGTCCTGGGCGGGGGTCATTCCTGTGTCCCATGAGGTAGAGGGAAGGGAGTCCAAAAATCTGGGCATGCAGACACCAGGATTGGATTCCTGGGTGTTTCTAATAGCTGGAAAGTTCCCCAACATTACAGCATTATTTGGGTTTTGATATTTCTGTAGTTTTTGACATGATGCCTTGAGTGTCTGAAAGAACCTTGAACTTGAAGCAAGAAAGCTGCCAAGAGAAGCAGATGTGCAGATCCTTTCTCCGAGGATGTGTCTTTTAGGGAGTGCGGCCGCTGAGACCAGCAGCATTCTTTTTTTTTTTTTTTTTAAATTTATTTATTTATTTATTTTTGGCTGTGTTGGGTCTTCGTTTCTGTGCGAGGGCTTTCTCTAGTTGTGGCAAGTGGGGGCCACTCTTCATCGCGGTGCGCGGGACTCTCACTGTCGCGGCCTCTCTTGTTGCAGAGCACAGGCTCCAGACGCGCAGGCTCAGTAGTTGTGGCTCACGGGCCCAGTTGCTCCGCGGCATGTGGGATCTTCCCAGACCAGGGCTCGAACCCGTGTCCCCTGCATTGGCAGGCAGATTCTCAACCACTGCGCCACCAGGGAAGCCCCCAGCAGCATTCTTCTGTGGTCATGCCGACACGCCACCTGAAAGAAGCACCTTCTCATACCCCCTCTGGCTGCTGGGCAATGGCGCCGGCCAGGCTGTGTCAGGGCAAGGGGAGGACCCGCCACGTTTGCATCAAGATGTAAAACGGAAACTGACCCTCACCCCCCTCCGTGATGCCTGGTCTGTGTGTTCGTGGGTCCCTTGGATGCCCAGAGAGTGAAGGGCCACCTGAGGTCAGTGTAGAAGGAACGAACGGCCAGGCGCCCACAGACAAGGCTGAAGAAGCGGGTTGTCTGGTGACCAGTGCTGGAGGAGGGGAGACTGCTGTCCAGAGCAGGTGGCGACTCATGGCCCCAACTCAGCGTCTGTGATCCCTTTTCCTGTGTTCATGACCCAGCGGGGCGGGGGGTGGCCGGAGAACCCAGAAATCTGCAGTGCGTGGCACTTAGGTGATAAAAAGTAGCTGGACAGGTCGCCTGAATATTCTCGTGTCTGCACGTCTGCTGTCTAGAAAGAAGATAAAATGGGAAGGCATGTGGAGCCATCTGGTGGCCAGGCTCCTGCAGCCATGGCCTGGCCACATGGCCTCCTGGGCCCTCCAGGGCTTGCATCTGGCCTCTGTGACTTGGGTGAGGTTTTGTCCTCTTCTGAAAGGGAAGAGAGGTTTGCCACCAGGAAAACTGAAACACCGGGAGGGGCCCCTAAGCTGAAGTGAATGTTCTTTTCTAACATTTTTTTCTAAAAGGATAGATTTCAAGTAGAGTTTTTAAACTTTGGTTTTAAAATTTACTAGGAATTTTCTCTTGCTCAGTTTCCTTTGTATACAAATTCAGCTGCTTGAGATAATGGACTGCATCTGAATCGCTGGTGTAAATTAGATATTTTTTAAAATTTAGGTGTATTTGACAAATGACATTGTGTAAATTTAAGGCTTACGAGGTTAATTTGTTACATTCACGTATTGTGATACGATTGCCATTGTAACTGTACTTAGCACCTCCGTCACGTTACAATAATTATCATTTCTTTTTTAGTGGTTAGGATAATTAAGTTATATCTCTTAGCAAGTTTGATAATTATAATACAATATTTACTACACTGTGCATTGTATCTCTAGGGCATATTTACTACTTACTGCAAGTTTGTACCCTTTAAAAATTCTGTCCTGTCCCCAAAGCCCCCGGCCCCTGGTAACTACCATTTTACTGTTTTTATATGTTTGGCCTTTTTAGATTCCATATATTATGAGTGATATCATACCACAAGGAGATATCACCTCACACCTGTTAGAATGCCAGTCATCAAAAAGTCAAGAGGGCTTCCCTGGTGGCGCAGTGGTTGAGAGTCCGCCTGCCGATGCAGGGGACGCGGGTTCGTGCCCCGGTCCGGGAGGACCCCACATGCCGCGGAGCGGCTGGGCCCGTGAGCCATGGCCGCTG